CTATAAGCGGGAGTGCTACCAAGCCTGGGCTGACGCATCAGCGTCCCGGGATGTAAACACCAGCGCTCTAAAAAGGAAGTATAATTCCGCCTCTAGGTCCTTCAAAAGGTTCATTGCCAAGGCAAAGTCAGAGCACATAGGCAGAATTGGCGAGAAACTAGTTCACCTTCCTTCTGGAACCCGTGCATTCTGGTCTCTCGCCAAGGCTGTCCAGGGGAATTTCTGTGAGCCATCTCTTCCATCTCTGCACAGGGAGGACGACTCACTGGCCCATACCGCAAAGGAGAAAGCTGATTCTCCAGGCTCTTTCTTTGCGTCCAACTCGGCCCTCGATACGAGGAGTACGCCGCCGACCATCCCGCGGTGTGAGTGCTCCATGCCGGAAGTGCAGTTCACCCAGCGCTCGGTTCGCAAAGCACTCCTCTCCCTGGACATCCACAAGTCGAGTGGGCCTGAAGGAATCCCCCCAATTGTGCTGAGGACGTGTGCTCCAGAGTTGGCACCGGTTTTAACGCCTCTTTTCCAGTACTCCTACTCCCTAGGCGTAGTCCCAAAATCATGGAAGACGGCCTTCGTCCACCCGATTCCTAAAAAAGGCGACCGCTAAGACCCGTCCAACTACCGGCCTATCGCCATCACCTCCTTGCTCTCCAAAACAATGGAGTCCATTGTAAACTGCCAGCTCATGAGGTACCTTGAGGATCACCAGCTGATTAGTGACCGCTAATACGGTTTTCGCCGTGGTCGGTCAGCTGGTGATCTTCTGGTCTACCTAACTCATAGATGGGCGGAGGCAGTAGAGTCCAAGGGGGAGGCATTGGCCGTTAGTTTAGACATTGCGAAGGCCTTTCGATCGGGTTTGGCACAAAGCGCTTCTTTCGAAGCTCCCTTCCTATGGGCTTCCCGAGAAATTGTGCGATTGGATCACCAGCTTTCTTGCAGATCGGGGCATCAAGGTCGTTGTAGACGGTGCAAGCTCCGATTGCAAGCCTATTAACGCTGGTGTTCCACAAGTCTGCGTGCTATAGCCAACGCTGTTTCTTCTGCATATCAATGATATGTTGCAAACCCGTAACATTCATTGCTATGCAGATGACAGCACTGGTTATGCTCTTTAAACGGCCTAGTCTCGGGAAAACGTCTCCGAGTGCCGGGACAAACTTGTGTCTGAAGTCGAGTCTTTGCTGAACAGAGTCTCGGATTGGAGGCGACTAAATCTAGTCCAGTTTAACCCCCAGAAGACACAAGTTTGCGCGTTAACCGCTAAAAAGAACCCCTTTGTCGTATCTCCTCAGTTTCAAGGCACTCCCCTTGTTGCCTCAGCCTGTATCGGAATCCTCGGCGTCGACATATCGAGTGACGTGCAGTTTCGTGGTCACTTGGAAGAGAAGGCCAAATTGGCCTCTAAAAAGCTTGGCGTGCTCGGCAGAGCGGGACAGTATTTCATGCCGGCACACCGCCTGCAACTTTACAAGGCGCAGGTTCGGCCGGATATGGAATACTGTTCCCATCTCTGGGCTGGGGCTCCCCAGTACCAGCTCCTTCCACTTGACCGTATCCAGCGCAGAGCGGCTCGAATTGTCGACGACCGAGTGCTTTCCGATCGGCTCGACTCACTGGCACTGCGAAGAGATTTTGCATCTCTTTGCATTTTCTTTCGCATATACCACAAAAAGTGCTCTGAGGAATTGTTCGGATTAATCCCAGCCGCCAAATTTCGTGAACGCACTACGCGGCAAACGTCCCGATACCATCCACACCATCTGGATGCTTGGCGGTCCACCACTGTACGTTTCAAGAGGAGTTTTCTTCCGCGTACAACCTCTCTGTGGAATAGTTTACCACCAGCGATTTTTCCGGACCGATACGACCTGGGGACCTTCAAGAAAAGGGCATACTCCTTTCTAAAGGGCCGGCAGCGCACCTGCAATTCCTCTGGTGTTGCGGTTGATCATGGGCGGCGGTAGTCACTTAACATCAGGTGAGCCGCATGCTCGTTTGCCCCCTCTTCTATAAAAAAAAAGAACCGGATGCTAGTTAAAAAGCTTACTACTAATTGTAAGTATTCCTTGATAGATCAATTGAAAAAAGCAATAAAAATAATAAGTTTGAAATGTCTATGCAATAGGCTTCCACTATGTTTACCTATTGCACTCTACTTTTTCTCCACGTTAAAAAGTCAACCAGTATTTAGCATACATTATTAGGTTAATAAACTTGCAATGTATATTGTATACTTATTGTTAAATTAACAAATTTAACAACGTAATGGGTTTAAGTTGAAACTCCTTATCGTCCGTTATAAACTTATAAACATAGTATTTTCATGTTTATAGGCATTGAGTTATGTGTAATATATAAATCAATGTTTATAGGTCAATAAAATTCTGTTCTATAGTTTTTAACCTATTTCTGTTTGTGCTTTCGTATGTTCGTGAGCTTGTTAAATAAATACCATTAATAAACAACATTGGCAAGTAAATGATTACTTGAAATACACAAAATCTAGTTTGTATTATTGTCTGCAACTTTGATTATTATTATGTACCTAAATATCTTTTTTTCTTAATATACGTACCTATCACGTACATATAGCTTTATAATACCCAATGCCCAATTGAATACCGAATTTTTCTCCCAATTCAATTTGTTTTAAATCGCTGAAAAAGTATATACAGAGAAATTTACACGAAATCAACAAAAACGCTGTCGTTGACTTACAGAATAAAAATTTAGATTTCGAAAGTTTGACCGTATTTCTCGCATTTTTTTTTTGGTTTCAAGTTCCAATGCGGAACACACATTAAGAAACGAGCTTGAATAGTAAGTTCTGCAATCTTTTATAAGGATTAGAACCCCAACTGATCAATCAAAGCTAAATTAATTTACTTTTTTACACAGAATCATGTCCTATAGTGTATAACAGACCCTCTTTACTGGAAACGAGGCATTCCATCTTAGTCCACACGGATGACAACGCATCTGCATTTTGATTTGTAATCGAGGATAGATGGGCCGCAGTAACCACTTACCATCAAGTGGACTGTGTGCTAGTTTGTCACTCTATCCTATAGAAATAATAATAATGGGGATCCAGAGCTGGAAAATTCTATTGTTTGGGGTCTCATGAGTCGCAAATGGGGTCTTCTTTTGAAGACTTGTATTTTTAAAGACCGGTCGTCTATTTTAAAAAAAATAATGTATGTTTTTGTTGCCTTTGAACATTTCAATTGTTATTGCTAGACTGTGCCGTAAAACTTTAGATGGTTGCTCGTATTTAATTAATTATAAATTTATAATAATTTAATTAAGTATAAATTTATAATAATTGTTTTAGATTAACTTGTATCTAAGTTCGTAGGGTTATTAATTTTTTATAGTAGGTATGTTTTCACCGTATATATCACGCTTAGAGACAAATAGTTTAATTAATTGTATATTCAAAATTAGAGACTGTAGCTTAGAGGATAAGCCCTCACCAAGTTCGTAGTCACGTGAAGTTCACCAACATGGAGAAGAAATCAGAGAAGGCCTGCGCCTAGCAGTGGGACGTATATAGGCTGCAAATTTATTTTATATTCGTAACGTAGTCATGTAATCTCTTTCGCGTTGGACGAAAAATCCTTCTGTGATCTCTAAACAATTAATATACATATTCTAACTGTAATTACACTAAATAGGCAACGTAAATAAAATATATTTTATATACCTGTTTTAAATAATACGTAAGTTTATTTGACTAAAACTAATTTTATGGATTTTATCGTGTTTAATTTTACGAATGTTTAATTGTCTATGGTTTATTCTACCACCAAGACGGCGCCATTTTGGTGGAAGTTATTTTGTTATTAAAGTGTAGAGTTTAGAGTGTAGAAGTAAGGAGGGCAGACTGTGTGGGATGTTTGTCTTTGTGCAATTTATGTTTGTAAACTGCCCCCACGATACAGGATAAAATCCTAGTGTAGGGGTAACGTTTTTAAAAATGATTGATTGATTGTATTAAAAAGTGTCCATAGAAAACAGTTAAATACGGGTGGCACCACTATAGCTACGGGCTAAATTTTAAGGAACGTACCGAGGTTATATTTACTAAATAAAATTATTTTAGATTTTAGAGCTACTGAGCAGTTTAGCAGCATACTTCAAACCGTCGACAACTGCTAAGTTCATTTCATCCCAGTAGCTACTCCAGCGCTGTTGTGGAGAGTTTTTGAACTGTTATTTACTGCTTACAGATGGCCACTTTTTCAACTATTCTACTATGGGAGTTGGTGCTCCTTACTTCTACACTCCATAGTGTAGAGATTGTTCCTTTCTGAAATGTTAGTTATTTTTATATTAATTATATAAGAAATGGATAAACCAAACTACGGATATTCCGAAAAGTAGAAGATTTAAAATAAAAGTTAAAAATGTGTAAAAATTAAAGAATACTCACCCAGGCATTGTTTTGTCTACATATACTAGAAACCGAACAACTTATAATTAAAAAGCAGCTTTACGTAACAAATTAGTTCATCTTAGTCTCAACTAGCGACATCTATCGAGTGGATGATTATTAGCGATCATTCCCGACATTTCGGGTGCTTTACACTTTACAGCACACCAGGGGTGCTACTTTACAGAACACGCGGAGGACTGAGGTGTTAGACCTGATATTATAGCCCGATAAAACCCGTAAAATTACTTTTATTCAACGTCTAGTATTCGTGTATAACAAGAAATCATTGTATTTTACTAGTTACAACTTTAATAGCTATTTCAATGTAATTGGACTTAGTGCTATGAGTACTATTTTGAATATATGAAAATTTTAAAAAGGTTTATCGTGTCAATTTATTAGTTTTTATAAGCTTTGAAAAAAGGTATATTATTAAACAAGAGTTTTTATTATGTGTATATTGTTTATACTCTGACGTAAAATAAAAAATGGCCATATTTATACAATTGTCTTATTTATTACTATTTATAAATCACAGATAAGTCACTATATATATATATCACAATTTTGAAGACTTTTCAGCTGACTCCAAAGGCTTGTCTGGCGGTAGAAACCATGCTGCAGCAATACTAGCTACGAAACAAAATTAAAATGGTTAATATTTTAAAAACTCGTTGCATTCTATTAAAAGCTTCCACTGCTGAACATACCCCCCCCCCCCCCATAGATTGCCTTTGATGAGATTTGATTTGCCTTAATAATCACGCTGGATGTTCGTACTAACTATTCTCAATATCAGACTTGACCTTACTCGATGTTGCCCGTTGCTGATCTGATAATTTTATGTCTAGCGTAAACAAATTAAGTATACCGCCATCTATCGGAAGTGATGAGATATTTTGGCATTTCAGGACCATTTATATACATACAAAGTATTACGTGAGGATGATATGGTCATCCGGTTAATATGGTCACTTAAAAACTGCAGGCTTGTTTGCATAGATAGCTTTGTTATACGATAACTGTTCATCAGTTAATCAAATAATAAAGGGTCAAAAGGGCGCTGATTTATTGACGCCATTTCGACAGTTGACATCATAGTAAATATTTTAGTCGATTTTAGTATGGTATAGTGTAATTAGTTTTTTTAAGGACGCGTTTACAAAATGGATAGGTATAGAATCGCACTACTACATTGACAAAAGTCACACACACACTAGTGTACGCACGGTTGGCTGTGGGAATCGTAGTCAAATGAAATTATTTTGATAATTTGAAAGATTGAATTTGTTTTTCATTTCTTATACCTACCTCAGAAATATACTTCGATACGAAATATGAATACCTGCTCCAAAGACTGCTTGGCACTGGAAGCCCTCTACTGGTAGTGAGATGTTAGCTCTGGACTTTGAACTGGTTTTGTCAGTTATAATAAGACCTTACCTACCTGCGGACTTGATGGAGTGACCTGAAGGTGTAATTTGGTGATTACAACAATAGGAACTCCTAGACTAGTGGAACTAGGTGTGCCGAGTTTGGGTTCGTTTTGTTGGTTATGATGAGACCTTACCACCGGACTTGATGGAGTGACCTGAAGGTGTAATTCGGTGATTACAAGTGGAACTCCTAGACTAGTAGAACTAGGTGTGCCGAGTTTGGGTTCGTTTTGTTAGTTATGATGAGACCTTACCACCAGACTTGATGGAGTGACCTGAAGGGGTAATTCAGTAACTACTGCTGGAATTTCTGAACGAGTAGAACTAGATGTGCCGAATTTGGGCTCCGTTTTGTTAGTTATGACGAGTCCATACCTCCGGACTTGATGGAGTGACCTGAAGGTGTAAATCGGTGATTGCAACTGGAACTCCTAGACTGGTGGAACTAGGTGTGCCGAGTTTGGGTTCGTTTTGTAGGTTATGATGAGACCTTACCACCGGACATGATGGAGTGACCTGAAGGTATAGTTCGGTGATTACAAGTGGAACTACTAGACTTGTAGGACTAGGTGTGCCGAGTTTGGGTTCGTTTTGTTAGTTATGATGAGACCTTACCACCAGACTTGATGGAGTGACCTGAAGGGGTAATTCAGTAACTACTGCTGGAATTTCTGAACCAGTAGAACTAGGTGTGCCGAATTTCACTCCATCAAGTCCGGTGGTAAGGTCTTATCGTAACTAACAAAACGAAACCAAACTCGTCACACCTAGTTCTACTAGTCTAGGAATTCCATTTGTAACCACCTGATTACACCTTCAGGTCACTCAATCAAGTCCGGTGGTAAGGTCTCATCGTAACTAACAAAACGAACCCAAACTCGGCACACCTAGTTCTACAAGTCTAGGAGTTCCACTTGTAATCACTGAACTACACCTTCAGGTCACTCCATCAAGTCCGGAGGTATGGACTCGTCATAACTAACAAAACGAAGCCCAAATTCGGCACACCTAGTTCTACTCGTTCAGAAATTCCAGCAGTAGTTACTGAATTACCCCTTCAGGTCACTCTATCAAGTCCGGTGGTAAGGTCTCATCGTAACTAACAAAACGAACCCAAACTCGTCACACCTAGTTCTACTAGTCTAGGAATTCCATTTGTAACCACCTGATTACACCTTCAGGTCACTCAATCAAGTCCGGTGGTAAGGTCTCATCGTAACTAACAAAACGAACCCAAACTCGGCACACCTAGTTCTACAAGTCTAGGAGTTCCACTTGTAATCACTGAACTACACCTTCAGGTCACTCCATCAAGTCCGGAGGTATGGACTCGTCATAACTAACAAAACGAAGCCCAAATTCGGCACACCTAGTTCTACTCGTTCAGAAATTCCAGCAGTAGTTACTGAATTACCCCTTCAGGTCACTCTATCAAGTCCGGTGGTAAGGTCTCATCGTAACTAACAAAACGAACCCAAACTCGGCACACCTAGTTCTACCAGTCTAGGAGTTCCAGTTGCAATCACCGATTTAGACCTTCAGGTCACTCCATCAAGTCCAGAGGTATAGACTCGTCATAACTAACAAAACGGAGCTCAAATTCGTCACCCCTAGTTTTACTCTGCAAGAAGTTCAAATAGCGGTCACGAAAGTACACCTTCAGGTCATGCCATCAAGTCCAGAGGTAAGGTCTCATCATAACCAACAAAACGAGCCCAAACTCGGCACACCTAGTTCCGCTCGTCCACGAGTTGCAGTAGTAGGTAAGTTTATATATCCTACTTATTTTTAGCTAAATAAAAACTGTGAGTATAAAAATAATAATTTTATCACTTGTCAAGTACTTATGTTTCCAATTTGTTTTTTTCTAATATTTTGTGTATGTACAGCGATCTTTTCAGAATGAGCCGCTGCAAACAGGCGATACAGTGTCCACTCACGACGGCGGCCGAGCGCGGACTGTGGTTTCATCGAAATCTTTGTACAATAAATCAAAGCAGGCACCAACAATAAAATAGCCCTTATTGCAATACATTATGATTCATCCATATTACCAAAATATGTGAAAAAATGTGCATCAGTTTTTATTTTTTTTACGACTATTTGTGACATTTTGTTAAAAAATAAACCCAGGGTTTTTTAATTGAATATGTCTGTCATCTTATAGTATTTTTTAAATTTTTAAATATGTTGATAATAGACCAAAACATCTACCGAAACACAAGCCGGTATCGTTAATTTTGTAGAAAATGGCAACGAAAGTTCGTTTTTACAATATAAAAAACTACTATTTTCAACAAAAGAGTTACAGACATTTGCAGATGAAGAACCAATCTATACATGGTAGTTTTTACTTATATTTGATTTGGTTTAGTTTTGTCACAAAATCTACCGAAAAACACCCTAATTTTGGTTGATTTGCAAACGCGTCCTTAAGTTGATTTTTCGAAGTGTTCCTGATAATTGCCAAAGCTTGCTTTTTTTCTTATTATTTTAGTTATAGTACACGACTTTGTATTTTTGTCTCTGTCCTCCGCCAAGTTTTGATGTTATAGGTAGGGACCACAAAGAAGTTGGCTTAGAAGTATAACCGCTCAGATAAATGAATAAGTGCACTAAATTGCTCACTAATTGCTCAATTCAAATCCGTATTTGCTCACACTATTAATGAATTATTTTATTAGTTATTAATAATTAAAAATACAAAATATTTTTTCCCTGTTATACTTAAAACCAATGAACTTTTCTAAAAACGAATAAATACACAAAACGGAAAAAAAAAAGTTGCTCACTAATTGCTCATTTCAAATCTGCAATTGCTCACAATATTTATCAATTATTTTATTAGTTATTAATAATTAAAAATACAAAATTGTTATTGCCTTAAAACCAAAGAACTTTTCTAAAAATTAATAAGAACTCCTAATTGCTCACAAAATTCCTAACCGTAATACGCAATTGCTCAAACTATTTACGAATTATTTAATTAGCAATTAATAATTAAAATTAAAAAAAAATTCCTTAACCGTTCATAATATTGAATAGGTGCACAAAATTGCTCACTAATTGCTCATTTTAAATCTGCAATTGCTCACAATATTTATCAATTATTTTATTATTGATTTTAAATACTTTTACGGATTTTATCGCGTTTCTTTTACTATTATTTTTAATACCCGACGTTTCGGGCGCTTTCCAGCACCCATGGTCATGTCATTGTTAAACCCGGAGTACCTTCAGGTTTTTTTAATTATTGTTTATGGTAAGATCTATGCAAAATGGACTGACTATGTCCTGAAGTCTTGCAGTGGTATGCTTGGGTTTAGTTTTAATTTTATTGATTATAGGATCCCAAGCAGGTGGTAGTACCCAGCCTCCTTCTCTATTGAACTTAGGATGTTTTTTAATTTCAATAGCCTCACGTATCATCCTTGGTAGGAATCGGTGTTCTTTCGCGAGGATTTATGGTCTATCAAATCTGATGAAATGGTTGGGGCCGTCTAGGATATGATCGCAAACTGCAGACTTCCCGGAACGTTGATGCTTCACATCATCTATATGTCTGTTTGTGTTCTTCTGATGTGAAGCATCAACGTTCCGGGAAGTCTGCAGTTTGCGATCATATCCTAGACGACCACGACAAGGTAGAATCTACAGTAAATCTGTAAAATATCCCCAGATTTTTTACAGATTTACTGTAGGGTATGACAACGTCATTTAATGTCACAGAGGGTAGGTTGTTCCAGTCAACTCTGGAGACCATCCCTCCACCACCAATAACTATAGCCTGGGACTTGAACTGATTAATGTTTAGACCATAACGCTGACTCCACTAGTTTATCGCCGCTAAGTTATTATTGATGGTGGCAACAGCAGAAGGCAGATTTAACAGAGTTGACTGAGTGTAGATTTGGAGATCGTCTGCATACATGTGATAGAGAGAAGTTATATTTTGAGAGATAGAATTAATGACCGAAAAATGCAAAGTATGGGCTTTTTTTGGGAGAGGCGTTACAAGTTCACTTTTCCAAACATCAGGAAATTTTGAAGAGGAGATGGATTTATTCAAGATATGGGTAGGATAGGGAAATAGGATAGGTAAGATCATGTTACGACTAACATTGTTATCACCCACGGCATTGGACGAGATGGACAAAATGTTCTTTTTAACATCACCATCAGTGAAAGGAGAGAAAT